CGCAGCGTGCGTGGAGCCGTGAATAGGGCCAACCAATCGGAACCCGATTAAATCGATGATTTAAAAAGTTGACAACTTTTTCAATCATTGATTATAATCGATTATGTCGATTAGTTGTTGCAGCCCTACTGATGAGTGGTAAAATCTTTTAAAGCGTCGTCTAGGGCCAATTTCAGGCATGGTAGTTATTTTGCAATTTCGCGGGCACACGCAATTTTAAATAGTTTGGTCTATTTACCCGACATGACCCCATTTCACCAAAAAATTGGTTGCTGATAAATGTTTTATAACAACGTAGGGAAAACAAGTTTGTTTTTCTTCCAAATTTTCGGAACTTTTTTGTTATATAGTAAAACAAAAACCCCAGTGGTGATTAAATACCATCAAAAGAAAACTGTCCCCCAAAACATTATGCATGACGGCATAAATGTCAAAGTACTGCAGCGCTGAATACTGAAAAATGGTCTGGTCCGATGGGGGGGTGGGGGGGGGTTTGAGAGTTTACTACTTTCACACACCATGCAGCAGGGGTGCCAAGTCTTACTACGCCTACTGCTGCCTGAGCAGCACCAAAAAGCTGCGTACTTCTGGCTACGGAGACACATGACAACGCCCCCTACCCCCATAATTCAGGGCTGATGTCCAAGCCACTAAAATGTGAGGCCAAACACTTTCACATGGGGGCAGGTGCATGGGTTTCTAATAGGGATGCACAGATACCAAGTATTTGGGTGATTCCTCATCCAAATGCTCCCAACGCCTATCCTGATACCGGAACTTCCAGTATCAGGAAGCTGGGCAGCGAGACAATACAAACTGCCTGGACTCCTGATTGGCCAGGAAGCTGGCTCCATGCTCTCGTCACCAGGGACATGTGGCTGCCTTCCCGGCCAATGACTCAACCCCCAGCTTCCGGATTGGCTGGGAAGCCGGCTCCATCATCACTTGGTGCGAGGTAGCTTGGAGCCGGCTCTCCGGCCAATCAGGAAGCTGGGCGCCGTGTAATGACTTGCCACCCGGCTTCCCGATGGGTCGGGAAGCTGACCAAAGCAGGAAGCCAGGCAACAAGTCATTACCCACCCCCAGCTCCCTGATTGGCCAGAAAGCAGGGTCCATGCTTTGTCACCTGGTGAGGAGAGCATGGAGACGGCCTCCTGGCTAATATGGAAGCCAGGCAGCAAGTCATGACACACCGCCCAGCTTCATTAGCCAGTTGAAGTCCGTGGTGTTAAACCCCCATCCCATCCAGGCCATTTTTCAGTATTCAGTGCTGCAGTACTTTGACATTTATTCCGTCATGCAACGCTGTAATGAAATGAATTTTATAGAGACAAGATTTCTTTTGGTGGTATTTAATCACCACTGCGGTTTTTATTTTTTACTATATTATGGAAAAATTACCAAAATGTAAAAAAAAGTTTCCCCTATATAAAATGATAAAACATTACCCACTTTGTTAAAATATAAAAGACGGGGTCACATTGGGTAAAAAGACACCAAACATGTCAAGTAGGGATGCACCGTTATTGTATCGGTATCGGTGCCGATACCGAGTATTTGGGTGAGTACTCGTACTCGCCAAAATGCTCCGATACCTAGCACGAGTACTTCCTGTATCAGGAAGCCGGGCTGCACATCATTACACGCTGCCCTGTTTCCTGATTGGTCGGGAAACGGCTCCATGCTCTCTCATCACTTGTGATGAGAGCATGGAGCCGATTTCCCGGCCAATCAGGAAGCCGGGTAGCGTGTAATGACGCTCTGCCTGGCTTCCCGATTGGTCAGGAAGCTAGAAAATCCGGAAGCCGTGTAATGAAGCAGCGCCGGCATTCCGATAGGCCGGAAAGGCGGCATCCTGCTCCCACGTCATCTCATGAATCATAATATTAAGAAACTGACCTTAAATCATTAGTTTGTATTGCTTTAGAAAAAAATGTGACCTGTTCCTTTAAGAAAAAGTATCGGTAATTGGTATCGGCAAGTACTTGATCAAAAGTATCGGTACTCGGTCGTAAAAAAGTGGTATCGGTGCATCCCTAATGTCAAGCCTTAAAATTGCGCGCGAAACCTCAAAAAACGATAATACCCCAAATTGGCCTTAGGCGACGCTTTAAAAGCTTTTACCGCTCATCAGTTTAGTGTTATCAGTGATTGATGACCCTAAAAGTTTGCGGTGATATGCAACGCGTGTAGCGCAATTGCCATATCCGCGCGCTGGTGCACCGGACGCATATTTACATTTATGTGCGTAAACGTGGGGGGACATATATAAATATATATTTTATTTTTTACACTTATTGCTATTACATAGGAGGATAACAATCATGTAGTACATATATACAGCACACACCTCCACTACACTCCAGCAATAGAGTTACAATTCTCCCCTGCTAACATGAATAGGTTAAACCATGATCCATAGTACATAACATGTAGTTGTACTATGGATCATTTAAAGTCACCTGTCCCTTTAAGAAAAAGGATCGGTAATTGGTATCGGCAAGTACATGAGGGGATGTACTTGGGCCTGAAAAAGTGGCATCGGGACATCCCTAATTTTCATGTTTGAGCGTTTTGTAGAGCGTTGAAGGCGCTACAAAACGTACAGGTGTGAACCAGGCCTAATTGTTTGAAAAACTAATGTGATCCGTTTTTGGTACAATAGTTGATGGGAAGTGCATGATAGCAGTTACTGTACAACTGGCCAAATTTGGTTGAATGGGCAGACTAGAAAACTTGCGTGGAAACGGCCAAGAAAAAAAAAAAAGGATTAGTGGAGTTTCCATAATAAAAATCGCAAACAACACTGCACATGCACAAACAAAAATCTGTTCTGTCGATAGACGAAATTTTGCCAGTTAGTATTGCTGACGAACTATGATCGAAATCCACATTGGTCTGTGCATGATGGGCTATTTGTGCAGAAATTGAATGAGGGTGCGATGATGGGATACAGAAAATTGAACGGTAAATGTAAGGTGTATGGCCATCTTAATACACAAGCAAGCTTCTCAAAAAAATGACAGATTTGCCTTGTATATGCATAAACTTAAAGTACATAAGCTAAAATCGCCACAATATTTGAAAACTCTGCTCAGGAAAATGCCAACACAGCTAGAATTATTGGGGAACTTTTATCTAGTATTAACATACATGTGCAGGAGGATTTTTTGTTGGAATTCTTTGCACTTTTGGTTAAAGTTTTAAAAAACGAGTAAACATTGTGTTATGCGTAAAACAAAATAAAAAAATTAATCCAAAAAATAATTGGGGGGGGGGGAAGTAAGTTACAAACTTCCTTTAATAACTTGGTACTATACATCACATATCTATGTGCATTTCTACATAGACAGCATCATTAATGTACCGTATTCTAAAGCAATGCAGGAATAAAAGGCTGTACAGGCCCAAGCCTGAAGAGCTGAAAAGTGACAGCTCAGCAGATCTCTCCCCCATTTTCAGCTAGGACTTTGGCTCAGTTTACTGAATGACTCTGAGACCAGCTGGCACCAGAGAGGAAGTAAAGAACTCTGTACTCTACTAGATATAGCTAAGCTGCTATTACAAAAAAAAAAATGGGACAGAACACCAAACAAAGCAAAATTCAATGTAAACTAAATAAAAAATGGCCAGTCTACCCAAACATTCACTTGCCACATAAGCAAAGCTGCCTTCCAAGCCTCACTGCTTAGACATCGCAGCTGCCAGAAAACCACCACAAAATATGTGAATCTATTTTGCACTCGAAAATGCTGCAGTTTGTCGCAATAAAGAGAATGAACGTGGCGTTTAATTAGGGAAACCGACACCAGTTTTCTGACAGGTACCCTTGTTTCATCGCCGGGTGAAGTTCCAGAACACAGCAGAAAGAAAATCCAAAACAGATACAAGGCCAGTGAATGCAGCCATGGGAGGTGGGAAGATAATTAAAAGCCGTTTAACCAGCTGCCCCCCTCAAAACAGGGTGCTGGTGGTGGTGGTGGGGGGAGGGATGGTTAGAGATAGACTGACAACACAGCATTACGAGTATGCCTGAGCTTTTATAGAAGCTTACTCAGCTTTTCTATACAGGTATGAGGCAAAGCTTACAAGTAGAACGCCCAGGATATTCCACTTATCGTGCCCTACTCAGCACATTTACACACATGTAGCAATCAAAAAAAAATCTATCAGGAAAGTACAATATGGAGTCAGGGTCTACAGTCCATGTCACCTCTGAGGAAAAGTACAAAATGGAGATCAGTCATCTAAAGGAATGATTTATATAAGGGGTGGACACACTAATATGAATTCAGGATCCAGTCAGTCCAATCCAACAAGTTTTATTCAGCAATCTAGAACCATCGACAACTTGGGAAAACCCCCAAGGTTAGGTGCCAGCTGTAATTATAAAGCAGCATTGTGGACCTGGCTCCTGGGATTTGTACAACTCTGCAACACATCAATCATTTGTCACCCTCTTTGGCTCCTGCAGATAACCTCACTTCTTGAAAGCCCAGTTTTTCCCAGCTTATGACATTTAAAGCACTCCATAAAGTAAAGAGTGTGTCTTCATTGTGCTAGAGCCCCCCCCAGTGACATGAAGAGTAGTGACGAAGTCCCGGGCTGTGTGCGGTCAGTGTAGATTACCTGGGAGACCAAGGACCAGCTGGTTCACCTCAGAGGGTGCTCCCTCAGCACCTGCCGGAACCCAGGACACCCCGTCCCTCGCAACGGCCTCGCCCAAGCCCTCACAAGCAACCCATTAACGGACTGATCCACTTTAGATTAAGGAGGGGGGTGTATGATGGGTCAATGCCTCAAAACTTAAGCCAGCCCCATAGGACGTCAGCCTGCATGCGAGACCTGGCACAGCTGACGAATATACGGGGACAGAGTGATGAGTGAAAGGAGGTGACATGGCCCCAGTGACATTCCTCCATAGAAAAACATCTGGTAACCCCAATAACAGCCAGTATGGTTAACAGTCAGGGGTCCCCCGCTGCTTCGCCCCGGCTTACCTTAGTGTTTTGGTAGTTCTCCAAGGCTCTGACGGCGGTCTCAGTGAGTTTAACGTGAAGTACGGTGAGGTTGTCCTGTGCCCCCCTCCCGCAGGACAGCCCGTACCTCCCCTCCTCACTAAGCGCCGCCATCTTCCTCACTCACTCCCTCTTCCCCTCCCGACTCCGAGGCGAGCAGCGAGTTTTGTATCTCGCAACCTAACCTGCTACAGTGTGCACGAACTGAGGCATACGACGCTGATTAGCTAATCGCTTAGCTCCGCCCTCTTAGTTAGGTTAGCGGCGCAAAGCAGTAGGCTTCTCTTTATAGCAAGGGATGAGGGATTTTTTTTTTGTTTCGTTTCTGGACAGGCGTAATCACGTTCAGGGGTGGGCGTGGCCGGTCATGACGTAGGCTTTCGAGGATAGGGGAGCTCATGACGTCAGCGGGTGACGAAGACTCCCCGCTGAGCGGAGGGCTCCAGTGTGTCTGCTGTTGTACTTGTGGGACCACTGACAATGGGGGGGGGGGCTTCTAATTCGATAGAAGACGAGGGCTGTTGTGTGCCAGCCTTTTATCTTCAGAGCTGGACATTGTAGCTAGGAGGAGCATGGTAATGAACTTTGGAAAGCACGCTGTCACCACAATTACTGTGAAAGTAATGATTAACTAGAAGAGTGACAAATACGTGCTGGCCATGAGAACTGGACAGGTCTAAACCATACTGCAAAAGCACTTGGAAGCACACGTAAAACCCTACCCCTGTAGTGGGGCTACCCCAAGCACTGCAAGGGTTAATTATTATTCAGGGTTTATATAGTGCCAACAGTCTCCTCACCCCCCAATGACAGTGCATCCCTCCCTGGCCAACTAACGACAGTACATCCTTCCCTGACCACCTATAGTGCCCTCCCCCGGTTGTTACGCCACTGGTGGTTAGGTTGAGGTGGGATAGGCTTCCTTGAAGAGATGGGTCTTTAGGGATCGCCTAAAGGCAGTCAGAGTGGAAGATAGACGGACAGCTTGGTGTAAAGAGTTCCAGAGGATGGTAGAGACTCTAGTAATCCTGGAGGCGAGCATGAGAGGAGTTGACGAGGGAGCTGGAAAGCAGGAGGTCTTTGGAAGAGCGGAGGGGATAGTTAGGGTGATACTTTGAGGAAAGGTTTGAGATATAGCCGGGAGCAGAGTTGTGGATAACTTTGTAAGTGGTTGTTAATATTTAGAATGTAATCCTTTTAGCTATTGGAAGCCAGTGCAGGGATTGGCAGAGGGGGGTTGGTGCTGGAAGCCAGTGCAGGGATTGGCAGAGGGGTGTTGCAGACACTGAGCGGTTGGTAAGGTGAATGAGTCTAGCAGCAGCATTCATGATAGACTGAAGGGGGGAGGAGCATGTGTAGAGGTAGGCCAATGAGGAGGGAGTTGCAGTAGTCAAGACGAGAGATAACAAGCGAGTGGATGAGTAGTTTTGAGGTTTCTTTGGTGAGGAAGGGGCGTATTTTGGAGATGTTACGAAGGTGAAGGCGGCAGGATTTGGAAGTGGGGAAGAAAGGTAAGGTCCGAGTCGAGGATGACACCTAGCACCTTGGCATGGGGGGAGGGCTGGATAGTTGTGTTATCAGTTTTGGGAAAAGGTGGGTGGGGGGTGGGATATCATGAGCTCAGTTTTTGAAAAGTTGACTATTAAGAAGTGTTGTGACATCCAGACGGATATGTCGGATAGTAGATTAGTGACACGCAAGGACACTGAGGGGGGGAGTTGTGGAGTGGAAAGATAGATTTGAGTGTCATCGGCATAGAGATGGTATTGGAAGTCATGTGAGGTTATTAACTGACCAAGGGAGGAGGTATAAATGGAGAAGAGGAGGGGTCCAAGGACAGAGCCTTGGGGGACCCCTACAGAAAGAGGAAGAGGAGGGGAGGAGTTAGATTTGTGAGTGACACTAAAGGAGCGCATAGCTAAGTAGTAGGAGAACCACGAGAGAGCAGAGTCTTGTAGGCCAAGCGAGTGGAGTTTTTTGAGGAGCAGTGGGTGGTCAACAGTGTCAAAAGCAGCAGAAAGGTCTCATAGTAAGAGTAAGGAGTAGTGGCCATTGTTTTTAGCTGTTAGTAAGTCATTGGTGAGTTTTAGGAGGGCGGTTTCAGTGGAGTATAGGGGCGAAAACCGGACTGTAAGGGGTCAAGAAGGTTGTTATCAGCGAGGTGGCGGCTCAGGCGGTTGTAGATAAGGTGTTCTAGTAGTTTAGAGGTGAAAGGGAGTAAGGAGATAGATTGAAATTATTGAGGTTTGTAGGGTCCAGTGAAGGTTTTTGGGGTATTGGGGTGACCAGTGCATGTTTGAGAGGGGAAGGAAAGATGCCTGTAGAGAGTGAAAGATTGAAAATGTGAGAGAGTGTAGGATAGAGGAAGAGGGTGACAGAAGTAGTAGTGAGGGAACAGGGTCCAGGGGGCAAGTGGTGAGGTGGGTGTTAGAGAGAAGCTTTGTAACCTCCTCTGTGGTGACAGGGTCAAAAGAGGAAAGTAACAAGTGTGATGGAGGGTCTGGTACATGAATAGGGGAAGGTGCTTTAAGGACTTACCCTAAATGATGCCTCTTGATACAAAAATCTTCTTACTTTCACTTGTATTGAGAAGTCCCTCCAGCGCTGGTGCCGGTCTCTGATTCAGCGCAGACTCCTCGGGACCCACGCTGTCTGTCCAACATGCACGCGTCTGTCCAACATGCACGCTCACAGCTGCATGCATTCACCTCCGCTGTGTCTCTCCTTCTCTCTGAAGATCTCTACTGCACATGCACCTGCCCCATCATCCTGCACCGCCGCTCGAGAAGCTGCAGATCTTCAGACGGGAGCGAGCGGCAGAGACAGAGGTAAGTCATTATCTTTTTCGTAACTTTTTAATTTTTTTAAATGTTCTTGAATATTCTGTATCGACTGCTTGCTAGCAGTAGATATATCCAAAAAAAAAAACCACAGAGTGTTTAAATATACACCAGGGTAATGTAACTCGCCCCTGTATTGTTGAGGATTATAAATGGGCATGGGGTGAATTGAGTTTGCCGAAGCCCATGCAAAACTGTCAAGGACAACCCCCGCTCCCGGCCCAATCGGTTGCAGATGGGACATTCCTCACCCTGCAGCTACACATAACAAAGGGGCAGGGAATGTGCTGGCTGCAACTAATGCAACAAAAGATTTGTATTTTTTATTTAATGTTCCACTTTCCTTTTTTTTTTTTTTTATTGAGGAGGGGGGGGCTAGAACCACTGTCGGTTTTTTTTTTCCATATGTGTCTCATTAGATAGATTTCCCTTCACTTCCTGTCTTGTAGACTAAATAGAAGTGATGTGACTCGGGCAAACTTTGTGTGAACCAAGTTTGCCCGAGTCCGCACAAGCCGCAGGAAACTGGTACTGACATCCCTCCCCTCATAGCCCAGTCAGTTGTGGCCGGGACATTCCCCACTCCTTTGTGATGTGTAGGGCATTGGGCAAGGACCGAGGTGTGTGAGTGGCAGTTTTGTGTGGGCTTGGGCAAACCTGGTACACACCAAGCCCCCCCCCCACTCATCACTACTGAAAGGATATCCTAAAATGTGGAAAATCCTCTCTTGAGGGCTTGTTCACATCATATACAGTACATTCCAGCATGATTAGTTACTGGAACGCACTGTATCGCATCCCGGCCAAATCCCTGCGTTCTGGGGCGGGAGGGGGCTCGTGGTGCATAGAAGTCAATGGCACCGCAGCTACGCCCACCACCCGCAGTGCGATTGCCCGCATCAGAACACGTGTCAAATCAATGCCTGCGTTCTGGTCCAGGGTGATTCAAAAAATGCAGCAAGCACTATTTTTTCAGATCGCACTGGACTGGAACGCAGGCATTGTTTTGCCACGAGTTCTGGTGCAGGCGATCACACCATTGACTTAAATGCACCTCCATGCCCTCTCCCGCCCCAAAACACAGAAAGCTGGCCTGGTTGCAAAACAGTGCCTTCCAGCAGCGAACCGCATTGGAACGCACTGTATATGGTGTAAACAAGCCCTTAGACCGCTATCACAGGAACAAATTTCCCCACTTTCCTGTTCTGGTGGCAACTCAATAATTTGGATTTCCCCTCACTTTTATTACCGTTGACATCAGGACACTTAGAAAGAGTGAATCTACCTAATGGGGGCACAGACAACTATAAAAAACTTGTCAGGGTTTCCTTAACCTCTCACCACTTTATTTGAAAAAACTAAGTTTTACTTCCAAGAGGGTTATTCACAAAGCTGCCGAAGGATCCAGCCGTAGCTTCGGTTGCGGGAACAGATCATCGTAACCAGGGTTGCTGATCTGTCATTACACTGAGAACTCGGCAGAGCCGCCGTGATATCACGGCGGCTTCGCCGAGTTCTCAGTGTGTAATGACAGTTCAAAGAAGGCTTTGATATCACCGCCAGCACCGCTGAGCTCTCATTGTAATGACAGTTGGTCCCGGCTAATAGAAAACAGTTGGGTGGAGCTAGCTGTCACCGCTAGCTCCGCCCAATCGTTTTCTATTTTTCTTCTACTCTTTTAACTGGTTTTCTATTCTGCTCGGTACCACAGAGGTACTGAGCTGAATAGCCGAGCCGAATGCCGATCAGCCGATGTACGGCTGATTTCAGTTGGTGTACGGCTGAAATCAGCTGTACAAGCCTGAAGTGAATAGCAGAACAGCGTTCGGATCACTTGGAGGGTTATTTGTGAATAACCCTCCAAGTGATCCACTACAGGGTCAAAACAGAAAGCACACAATTGCAAGGTAAGGTTGCATCATGTGCGGGGGGTTGCAAAAGTACTGCACTGCTTACTGCTTTCCTTGTTGGAGCATAATCTGTACTGCATGTATCTTCCTGTTCTACCTACTTCATTTAGTGTACCTGTGGTTTGTGACTCTGGCTGCTTTTTGAATTTTTCCCCACCAGTTAGTTAATCATCAGTGATCAGTAGTGTATCTTTTAGATTGTAAGCCCTCAGGGGAAGTGCCCTCCTTACCATCTTGTCTTGAATTGTATTGTGATTGTAATGTCTTCCTTATATTGTAAGGCGCTGCGCAAACTGTTGGCGCTAAATAAATCCTGTATTATAATAATAATATTTTTGACATGAGGAAGCAAAGCCTCATTCCCCTACCAAGATGGCTGCCCCCACACATAAACACAGTGCAGAACTAGGCATGATAAGTCAGTAATAGGGAAAAGATCAGCTGC